TGTGCATAGAGTTGTTTGTAATATTCTCTGATGATGGTTTGAATTTCTGTGGAATCTGTGGTGATTTCCCCTTTATCATTTTTTATTGCATCTATTTGGTTGTTCTCTCTTTTCTTTTTAATCAATCTGGCTAGTGGTCTGTCTATTTTGTTGATCTTTTCAAAAAACCAGCTCTTGGATTTATTGATTTTTTGAAGGGTTTTTCGTGTCTCAATCTCCTTCAGCTCAGCTCTGATCTTAATAATTTCTTGTCTTCTGCTGGGTTTTGAGTTTTTTTGATCTTGCTCCTCTAGCTCTTTCAATTTTGACGATAGGGTGTCAATTTTGGATCTCTCCATTCTCCTCATATGGGCACTTATTGCTATATACTTTCCTCTAGAGACTGCTTTAAATGTGTCCCAGAGGTTCTGGCACGTTGTGTCTTCATTCTCATTGGTTTCGAAGAACTTCTTTATTTCTGCCTTCATTTCGTTGTTTACCCAGTCAACATTCAAGAGCCAGTTGTTCAGTTTCCATGAAGCTGTGCGGTTCTGGGTCGGTTTCTGAATTCTGAGTTCTAACTTGATTGCACTATGGTCTGAGAGGCTGTTTGTTATGATTTCAGTTGTTTTGCATTTGTTGAGCAGTGCTTTACTTCCAATTATGTGGTCAATTTTAGAGTAGGTGTGATGTGGTGCTGAGAAGAATGTGTATTCTGTGGATTTGGGCTGGAGAGTTCTGTAAATGTCCACCAGGTTTGCTTGCTCCAGGTCTGAGTTCAAGCCCTGGGTATCCTTGTTGATTTTCTGTCTGGTTGATCTGTCTAGTATTGACAGTGGAGTGTTAAAGTCTCCCACTATTATTGTGTGGGAGTCTAAGTCCTTCTGTAAGTCATTAAGAACTTGCCTTATGTATCTGGGTGCTCCTGTGTTGGGTCCATATATGTTTAGGATCGTTAGCTCTTCTTGTTGTATCGATCCTTTTACCTTTATGTAATGGCCTTCTTTGTCTCTTTTGATCTTTGTTGCTTTAAAGTCTATTTTATCAGAGATGAGAATTGCCACTCCTGCTTTTTTTTGCTTTCCATTAGCTTGGTAAATCTTCCTCCATCCCTTTATTTTGAGCCTTTGTGTATCCTTGCATGTGAGATGGGTTTCCTGGATACAGCACACTGATGGGTTTTGGATTTTTATCCAATTTGCCAGTCTGTGTCTTTTGATTGGTGCATTTAGTCCATTTACATTTAGGGTTAATATTGTTATGTGTGAATTTGATACTGCCATTTTGATTCTAAGTGGCTGTTTTGCCTGTTAGTTGTTGTAGATTCTTCATTATGTTGAAGCTCTTTAGCATTCAGTGTGATTTTGGAATGGCTGGTACTGATTGATCCTTTCTATGTGTAGTGCCTCTTTCAGGAGCTCTTGTAAAGCAGGCCTGGTGGTGACAAAATCTCTGAGTACTTGCTTGTTCGCAAAGGATTTTATTTTTCCTTCACTTCTGAAGCTCAGTTTGGCTGGATATGAAATTCTGGGTTGAAAGTTCTTTTCTTTAAGAATGTTGAATATTGGCCCCCACTCTCTTCTGGCTTGTAGTGTTTCTGCCGAGAGATCTGCTGTGAGTCTGATGGGCTTCCCTTTGTGGGTGACCCGACCTTTCTCTCTGGCTGCTCTTAGTATTCTCTCCTTTATTTCAACCCTGTTGAATCTGACGATTATGTGCCTTGGGGTTGCTCTTCTTGCGGAATATCTTTGTGGTGTTCTCTGTATTTCCTGCATTTGAGTGTTGGCTTGTCTTGCTAGGTGGGCGAAATTTTCCTGGATGATGTCCTGAAGAGTATTTTCCAGCTGGGATTCATTCTCTTCGTCCCCTTCTGGTACACCTATCAAACGTAGGTTAGGTCTTTTCACATAGTCCCACATTTCTTGGAGACTTTGTTCATTCCTTTTTTGCGCTTTTTTCTCTGATCTTGGTTTCTCGTTTTATTTCATTGAGTTGGTCTTCGACTTCAGATATTCTTTCTTCTGCTTGGTCAATTCGGCTATTGAAACTTGCGTTTGCTTCGCGAAGTTCTCGTATTGTGTTTTTCAGCTCCTTTAATTCTTTCATATTCCTCTCTAAGGTATCCATTCTTGTTATCATTTCCTCGAATCTTTTTTCAAATCTTTTTTTAAGGTTCTTAGTTTCTTTGCATTGATTTAATACATGATCTTTTAGCTCACAAAAGTTTCTCATTATCCATCTTCTGAAGTCTAATTCCGTCATTTCGTCACAGTCATTCTCCATCCAGCTTTGTTCCCTTGCTGGTGAGGAGTTTTGGTCCTTTCTAGGAGGCGATGTGTTCTGGTTTCGGGTGTTTTCCTTCTTTTTGCGCTGGTTTCTTCCCATCTTTGTGGATTTGTCCGCTGGTCGTCTGCGTAGTTGCTGACTTTTTGTTTGGGTCTCTGAGTGGACACCCAGAATGTTGATGATGAAGTATTTCTGTTACTTGGTTTTCCTTCTACCAGTCTAGCCCCTTCGCTGTATAACTGTTGAGGTCCGCTCCAGACCCTGCTTGTCTGGGGTGCACCTCTAGTAGCCGTGGCACAGCAAGGGATGCTACCAGTTTCTTTTTCTGCTCTCTTTGTCCCAGGATGATGCCTGCCTAATGACAGTCTTTTGGATATAGAGGGGTCAGGGAGCTGCTTGAGGAGACAGTTTGTACTTTATAGGGGTTTAATTGCTGAGCTGTGCACTCTGTTGTTCATTCAGGGCTGTTAGGCTGCTATGTTTGATTCTGCTGCAACACAGCTCATTAAACAACCCTTTTTTTTTCTCAAATGCTCTGTGTTGAGGGGTTTGGGCTTTATTTTTGGATGTCCGATCAGGTGTCCTGCCCAGCTCAAAGGCAGACTAGCCACTGTTTGGCTGCTGAGGCTCCGCCCTGCTGTTGTGTGATTAGCCCTTTTCCTGCCGGCTCTGCTGTGGTCTCCGCCACGCCCTGCGGTGGAGTCTCTTTGTTGTAGCGTGTTGCCTCAGCAACGGCAGGCTGCGTCAGCAGTGGGCATGTATCTCAGTAGGGACGGGTTGCCTCGGCAACGGCTGGCTGTGTCAGCAGTGGGCGTGTATCTCAGTTGGGGCGGGTTGCCTCGGCAACGGCTGGCTGCCTCAGCAGTGGGCGTGTATATCAGTTGGGGTAGGTTGCCTCTGTAGTGGTGGACGCCCCTCCCCCACAGAGCGTCTCGGACCGTCTGCCCGGGATAGTTTGAAATCGCGGTTTTGTTCGTCCCACTGGGTATCCCAAGCGATCTGTCCCTGCAATCCCCTGGGCTGGGCTACTGTGCAAGTCTCGTTCAGTCTCAAGTCCAGCCCTCTCAAGTCTCAGGTTGCCGGTTCAACAAGGCACCCGGACAAGCGCACCCTGTGGGGATTGCTGGGTAGGGCCGGCCGCCGACGCCCCGGCTGCCGGCTTCACCAGGCAGACCTACTGCCTGGCGTCCTGTGTCTTTTTATACTTGGGAGTTTCCCCGTTCTGTGGGCAACAAAGATCAGTCTGGAAATGCAGCACTGACTCACCGTTTGCGAATTCAACGCGGGCTCCAATCCTGGGTTGTTCTCACAGCGCCATCTTGAGTCCCCTCCCGCTCTGCAGTATTTAGAAGTGATACACTAGATGTACATATAGCAACATGTACTAAGTGGAAAAAAATAGAATTAGATGTAGAATACTATTTTATATGTATACACATACAAACAATCCTACATGTTTCATAATAACACACAAAATGGCAAGACACACTTCAAAACACCAGAATGGTGGTTTTTGAAGGAAAGGGATTGGGAATGGGGAATGGGGAATGGAAATTAAAGGGGATAAGCAAGTAAAACAAGAGTGCCTGTTGTAAGCCAATGATCATTGCTTGTTGGTCAATTGATAAACACTTGCTATAAACCAATCATTAAGCACCATGGACAGAGACATGATTACACTGAAGGTTGCAAAACCACATAAGTCCTGTTCCTTCTTCTTAATATTTTCAAATCAACTTGTATTCATATTATTCCTGCTTCCTAATGACAGACTCAGTAAAAATAATAGAATTACTTCAACAACTGAATTCTTTTATTAAAGTCAGTGAATATAAGTTAAGCTTCTTTTATTATAGGAAACTGGAAAAGTTGCTTTAAAAAAAAGGTGAATTAAATAAAGCCTATATCTTCAAAGTGCTTGGTACGATATATTAAATTTATAACTCGTAAAAGTCACATGAAATATTAAAAACATTTTGTACTCTTTTACTTAGTTTATTCATGTATAAATGAAATCAGTATTTATAAGGATTTGCATTATTTTTATGAATCTCTTGGGAAATGGATATTATTAGATTATCTAGAGATACTTTTATTTATCATGATAGGATTTAAATTGTCAAAGATTGTGTCCTCTGCAGAGACATGGATGGAGCCGAGGCCATTATCTTTAGCAACCTAACTCAGGAATAGAAAACCAAAAACCACATGTTCTCACTTCCAAGTGAGAGCTAAATGATAACACATGGAGACATAGAGGGAAAAAACACACACTGGAGCTTATTGGAGGGTGGATGGGGGTGGAAGGAGGAAGAGGGTCAGGAAAAATAACTAATGGGTACTAGGCTTAATACCTGGATGATTAAATCTGTGCAACAAACTCACATTTGTTACATTTACCTATGTAACAAACTGCACATGCCCTGACCTTAAAATAAAACTTGGAAAAATAATCCAAAAAAATATAAAGTTGTAGAGATTTATTTTTCTTAAAGTTTCCAGAGTCATTCCTCTCTCCTGTGACTCATTATCAACATTTCTCCTTTGTTGCTTTGAATATATTTCTAAGAGACAATTTCTTGGCTCATTGATTTTAGAGTTGCAATCCCAGGTCACTATAGCTTTATTTGGCCACTGTTTTTCAGTGCAGTTAATTAGCCATTTTTTCCACTTATATAAATATTTTAAGTATGTGTGTGCTTGAGATAATAGTCTGTAAATAGCTACAAGGGGAAGATGGCATGAAATTCACAATAGGAGCAAGATAAACTAGATAAACTTCAGCTGCAAGAAAGACTCAGGTAATAGTTTGCTAGCCTGGGGCAGAAAGAAACATGGTTGTGGTGGGGAAATGATCACAGCAAAAGAGTAAATATGAATTATGGATATGGAGAGCAAGAATTAACCTTAGTTTTTAACTAAAACTTAGAAATGACTTGGAGATCCAAAGGTGCAACAGAGTACACTAGAGTCTGGAGTCTGCACTGTGGCTTGGTTCAGGGCAGAACTAAGATGCACATAAAGTTGTTTATGGTACCCAGAGACCTTTGGGGAAATCTATTAGCCTTGAAAAGGAAGACGAATGTGCTTGTTGTTTTCCTAACAAGCTTGTTGTTTGCTTTACTTCTATTTCTAAAGAAGGCCCAAGATATAGAAAGGAGAAAATTCATTGGTTACTAGTCATAAGTAAAGTTTTAAAAAAATAAAATCCCAGTTTCATGGAATCAAGATGTTGAAAGAATAATTGAAAACTTACTGGGAAGAAAACACCTAGAGTTCTAACTCATCCTGAATGGAAATAAAAATGTAGTGTCTGTTAAAATTAGTTGATTGAAGAATGGAGGGGAAAAAGTAAGAAACTAAATGTATAGAGTTTACAGTGGCTGCAATAAATCCTCCTATACTTGTTATGTTTTCAAAACATTTATGATAATTTTCAGGTCTATACAATGAAAAGTTTAGGTAGTGAAGTTGAGTGATTAGACAAAGAATGACAAAGATAAAGGGATAGAAGATGGATCCTTTGAGGAAGACTAAAGAAATTGAGGTGAATAAAACTAGAGGGTACAGATGAGTGATCTTTATTTGCTTTTACTATCATCAAGGATATTAAGCACTTATCTGGCAGAGTAGCTGACACCTTCATATCCACAGAGGATGAATTAAGTGGCTATAAGCTTAATTAAAAGGATGAGAGATTTCCTTTTTGCAAAAGAACATTTGGACTTTTATGTTAATGGAAAGCAGGACACAGCCAAGCATGGTGGCCTACACCTGTAATCCCAGCACTTTGGGAGGTGGAGGTGGATGGATTACTTGAGTCCAAGAGTTCAAGATAAGCCTGGTCAACATGGTGAAACCTCTTCTCTATTAAAAATACAAAAATTAGCTGGATGTGGTGGTGAATGACTGTAATACCAGCTACTCGGGAGGCTGAGGATAAAGAATCACTCAAACCTGGGAGGCTGAGGTTGCAGTGAACTGAGATTGGGCCACTGCACTCCGGCCTAGGAGACAGAGTGAGAATCTGTCTCAAAAAAAAAATGACAAGATACCTTTTCACAATAGCTAAGAAATATATTTTTAAACCTGAAAAACTGACATTTCCTGGATGGGTAAATAAAAGAAAAGCCAGATACAGGTGATGGGGAGGAAGGCAGCAAACCACATTGCCATGTATGTACCTATGCAACAATCTTGCATGTTCTTCACATGTACCCCAAAACCTAAAAACACAATCATATATATATATGTGTGTGTATACATATATATATATAATGGAACTGGTTTAGATCATATTTTCAGTTTTTTCTAGGTCATTAGATTTATTAAATGAGAATAATGAATATCTTTTATTTTCAAAATTTTAAAATGCAGTGATTATAAATCTAAGAAGTTGCCCAATTCCAATCCCATGCAATTCCATGTAGGTGAATTTAAATTTAAATTATTCCATCAAATGCTAGAGTATCTGTATTTGTCACATTACCGTAAGTTGTTTAAGTAGTATAAATAGATAATGATTATAATTTGTGTCATTATAAGTATTGAGAGCAGTAGCCAGGCAAGAACTAGGAAACTCAAAACAGAGTATCTCCTAATGGCAATGGTCTTAGGACATGGAGGGTCTTGGATGCATCAAAACAATCAAGCACTTATAACCCAGCCAGTCATCCTGGAAGCTATTCGGCGACCCAAAGATGAATAGATACTCAAAAAATGTGAAGACAAGAAAACGAGAGCTGAGTAAGTTTTTAGATCTGCTATTTGCTCTTTGTATTATTTTCTCATCTTTGCTTCTTAAGGGATTCCGAAGTAGGAAAATTTAGCGTTTAGCTCAATTTCTTCCTTTACTCAGTTCTAACTTTCATACCTGTCACTGTTATTCTCCTACCCAGCCTTTCTGCCCTTACTGTCTCCTGAAGCAACCCATTTTTTGTCATCCCTCTTGTGTAATGACAGCTTAAAAATGGATCACTTATTTCTTCATTATTAAAACTATCATGTTTTGCATGCATAAGATCTCCACTAAGGAAAGCCAGCTGGTAATTTTTTGTTTGCCTGCAACAGCCTAGTGAAGTATCCTTCCTGTAGCCACATAAGCAAAACTAGGGACCTCAGTATGTTAAGCTGAAAGAAACAACTCCAATGCTGAAGTATCTTAACCCGAAAGAAAGCAACTCTAGTGCTAAAAGAAAATATTTTGGGGCACTGGAGCTTTTAATATTGCACACCTAGACAAACTCCTACTCTGCCATCTCTTCCCCTTTATCATAATTTTCCACTTAATAAACCATCTTGGTTTCCTGTTGAATTCAATAATTCAATTTCCCCTTTTCTTTTTTCTCATCTATTTCCTTTCTGATTTTAAAAATGTATTTAAATTAGTGTGTAGGCTCTGTCTTTGAGTAAACTTTACACAGAATCTCATATTTTTTGAATGATGTAACAAATCATCTTTTAGTTTTGTTCTTTTCCTTGTAAAGTTATAAGTGAAGTTTACCATTATTTCTTTTGCTCTTCTGAGTTGTCAGGTTTTGCTATTCAAATTTCAGTTTGGAGGAAGTACCACATATATTTCCAGTTCATAACATATTCTTATTCCTACTTCCTGGAAGTCTTAATAGCATTTTTGCTAGAAGGAAATTTTTTCTCTTAGTGATCAGAAGGATTTATTTTTGTCTTTGTTGCCCATTTCTAGACACGTTTTGGTTAGTGTATAGTTCAGGTCATTAGAATTTAGATGTAAATCATAAAATGGTTTGTACAACTCTTAAAATTGTTCTGATAACCTTAGATTCTCATTTATGTTCAATTTCTTAATTTATTTGACATAATTAATGATTATTTCACATTTACATCATCTCTAAGGTATAGCATATTGTTAGGCACTTGATAGTTACAGCATATATACTTGTTGAATGAATGAGTGAATAAGCCAAAAAATCTTACCAGCATTGTTTTTGAGTTGCTTTACAGTCAGTACAAAGAATCACGGTATGTGAAACCTGACCCCATGTGTTATATCTATTTGTTTGTGGAGATAAAGACCAATGCACATTTACTGGATAAAATCCACTGGAAAATTAAATAGTACAAAAGACATTATAATTGTAAGAGTTCAGATAAAAGAAGAAGCCAGAAAACTGACACCTCCTGAAAGTGGAAATTGAATTAGAAATAAACAGAGTGGTTGAGACTCCCAGGTAGTTGATAAATTATAGACTTTCTTCAAATGTTCTTATGCTTTCTGTGGAATGAAAATCTGTATGTGACACCAAAATTGCATTTACTTTGGTGAATATGGATTCCACAAAACCAAGAATTCTTGTCAATGGTATAGTCTCAACCTCTGGAATCATGTCTGGAATCCTGAGCACTCAAGATACTTTTTGGAATTAGTGAACAAAAATCATTCAGAGAACCATTCAGGAGTTAATTGTATACCTAGCATAACTATTTTTCTAAGAAAACACTGCTTGACTAGTGATCATCGTTTTCTTATCATTGATAGTCATTAGTGGTCCATGCTTGGTCCTACATGTAACTGGAGTCAGAAGTCACTAATGTGTAGTTACAGGGCAAAAGTCAGGATGTCCTATCTCTCCCTGTGACCTCAATATCTCTTCCACCTTCCTGACAGACTACTTGAAATCCCTCTGTCAGATTCATTGATTTGTTAAGATTTTCCTTTTTCTCCTAAAACACTTGTTTACAGCAAAAAACAAAAAGCCCTGTTTTGTATAGAATAATGGCTTTGAAAAATGTTTATGTCCTAGTTCCTAGATCTGGCAAAAAGGTACATGTATGATTCATCTAAGAATCTTGATTTACTTGGATTATCGAGACCTTCCCAATGTAATTACAAGGGTCCTTGTAAGAGGAAGAGTCTGGGAGGAGATATAATGACAGAAATACAGGTTGGAGTGATGCGCTTCTAAGAGGCAGAAAGTCATGCGCCAAGGAATGTAGGCAACCTCTAGAAGCTTGAAAGGGCAAGGAAATGAATTATTTTCCAGAACCTCTAGGAGGAATGCAGCTCTGTTGACACCTTGATTTTTAGCTCTGAAAACTCCTTTTAGGCTTCTTTCCTTTAGAACAGTAAGAATATAACCAGTGTGTATGTGTGTTGTAAGCCACTAGATTTGTAGTAGCTTGTTACAACAGCAATAGTAAACTAATGTAACAAGTATTTACTGTAAAGAACTTTGAATGGGAGTCCAAAGTTCTTGGTCCCATTATACATTTTCCCACCAATTACCCTTGTGAGGCTGAGTAGATCACTCCCTGTATTTCTTCCTTTATGAATTATTTATGAAATGTAAATGTTGGACTAAACAAGAAACACTCCAGTGAACAGTGAAACTCTAATGGTTTATTTCTGGCAGTTCTTCATCCTTAAATAACTGTAATATTGTCACATCTCCCCATGCTAGGAGCTGGCCACCATTCTTTAGTTTATTTTCTGGACTTAATTTAAATCATCATCTTCTTTCAGAGTGCAGATATAGACACTATCTGGCTCTTTTCACTCAGTGTTTTATTTCTGTCACTTTTATTCACTCCAAGTGTATTTTGATAAAGAGACTGCCTTTATGTGACATGGTTTTTGTCTTAGGATATCCACTGGGTGTGTATATCTACAGTAGAGGAGATTATTTGTTTCAGATCATATATTTTATATAAAAATTGAGATTAAAAAATCACTTATGATTTCTTCTGTTTTGAACCATATTAGAAGGCTTTTATTTATGATTTAAAATGAATAATAAGACCCCATATTTATTTTTATGATATCTTATGTAAATGTTCCTTGATTAAATAAGTATAGGATTGAAATAGGGATACTGTGATAATTTCTGATGGGCAAACTGTTAATATACTATTAATAAAAACGTTACTGAATTCGGATGTCCTCTCCTGACTCCAGTGTCATTCTTCAGTCCCTTTAATTTATGCCTTCATTCAACAAGTGTGATACACTTATTATGTGCCTGATTATGTTGGTCAAAATTGGTGAATGTGATGGTGGTGGGAGCTACTCTTATGGATCAGTCAAGGCTTCTATAACCAAGAGTCTACATTTTAATTGGAGAAATGGACATTTACATAACCATAAGAAGCAGAGAACAATAAATGCTGATGGTGCAATGAGAATATAGAAACTTGAGCAGATTGGGAAGATTTCACACATAAGAGATATGTTGGCTGGGATTTTGAGAATTAGATTTTGTGTATTGGAGAATAGGAGAAATTTTGAAATTTTAAAACAGAATTGAAACTTCTAAAATCTAATCAAGCAATATAAATAACAGAAAAGAGACTTTGAAAGCTGTATTCTGTGCACAAGTAATTGTTAAGTAGCTCACATGACTGGCTGAAATCATATCCATTCATAAAAACATCATAGTGAAAAGTATTAAAGGTGTCCTTATATCTCACCCAAATAGAACATCTTGGGAAGGGTCAAATCAAAACTATTTATCTAACACAAGAGCAGAGGAGAAATAGGTCCAAGGATGGAAGTAATTTAGTAGTAGTTTTGAAATGCCAAATAGCAGCCAGCTCACCCCTTTAAGTAGAAGTCCAGCATGCATGTGATGAGGATTATTTGGCTGTGTGAGATGTTAATATGATGATACTTATTTTCATGGCTAGAGGCTTTATTGAACATGAATACCTGCCTAGGTAATTCTTTCTCATTTTCTTTCTTCCTTTAGGTAAATAAATGAAAACTGATCCTGGAGTCTGAGGCAATGAATGTAATGAATCACTCTGTAGTATCAGAATTTGTGTTCACAGGACTCACCAACTCATGGGCGATTCAGCTTCTACTTTTTGTTTTCTCTTTGTTGTTTTACTTTGCAAGCATGATGGGAAACCTTGTCATTGTATTCACTGTAACCACGGATGCTCATCTGCACTCCCCCATGTATTTCCTCCTGGCTAACCTCTCAGTCATTGATATGGCATTTTGCTCAATTACAGCCCCTAAGATGATTTGTGATATTTTCCAGAAGCACAAAGCCATCTCCTTTTGTGGATGTATTACTCAGATCTTCTTTAGCCATGCTGTTGGGGGCACTGAGATGGTGCTGCTCATTGCCATGGCCTTTGACAGATACATGGCCATATGTAAGCCTCTTCACTACCTAACTGTCATGAGCCCAAGAACATGTCTATACTTTTTAGCCACTTCCTTGATCATTGGCCTTATTCACTCATTGGTCCAGTTAGTTTTTGTGGTAGATTTACCTTTCTGTGGCCCTAATATCTTCGACAGTTTTTACTGTGATCTCCCTCGGCTCCTCAGACTTGCCTGCACAAATACCCAAGAGTTGGAGTTCATGGTCACTGTCAATAGTGGACTCATTTCTGTGGGCTCCTTTGTCTTGCTGATAATTTCCTACATCTTCATCCTGTTCACTGTTTGGAAACATTCTTCAGGTGGTTTATCCAAGGCCATCTCCACCCTGTCAGCTCACGTCACTGTGGTCATCTTGTTCTTTGGACCACTGATGTTTTTCTACACATGGCCTTCTCCCACATCACACCTGGATAAATATCTTGCTATTTTTGATGCATTTGTTACTCCTTTTCTGAATCCAGTCATCTACACATTCAGGAACAAGGACATGAAAGTGGCAATGAGGAGACTCTGCAATCGTCTTGTGCATTTTACAAAGATTTTGTAAATGGGTTGACTGTGAAGATGTGTAACTAAGGATTATTTCCCATGCTTGTTGCATAAAAGATACTCTGCAATTTCAGACAAATACTGAAGAAGACTCAGGCCATATTATATGCCTGAAAATCTACTAAATTATGGTAACAATTTCACCACTAAATTAGAAGTGATGTTACTGGGCACAGTGTGCATCAAAGTGCTAAATATTAAATCTTACATCTTTTGTAACCAGTACTTTGAAAGACCTTGTTCTAGGAGTGCCACATAATTGAACAAATAACAATACTACATCTTTTTTTCTATTAGATTATTCTATTGATAAACTACACATTCAATTAATCTGTTTACTATCTCTATTCCCCATCTCGCTCTTTTTTTTTTTGAGACAGGGTCTCACTATGTTGCCCAGGCTAGAGGGCAATGGCACCATTGTGGTTCACTGCAATCTCTGCTCTCTGGCTCAGGGATTCAACCAATTCTCCTGCCTCAGCTTCCTGAGGGCTGGGATTACAGGTGCCCATCACAATGACTGGCTAATTTTTATATTTTTAGTAGAGATGGAGTTTAACCATGTTGGCCAAGCTGATCTTGAACTCCTGACCTCAAGTGATCCACCTGCCTAAGCCACCAAAAATGCTGGTATTACAGGCATAAGCCACTGCAACTGGCCTGTTTAGTACCTAACACTCTCTATTTTAATTACTTTTGTTCCTAAACTGTTTGCTTTCTATTGCTCCAGTCTCTATATATTTTGCCTCCTTATCAGGCTTCTCTCTCTGGCCATCTGGAAAATTGTTAGTCCTATATTTAGAATATTCAAATTTAAAGCTAGAGTGTATTACCAACACTGTTCGTTCTAATCCCCTGAAATTACACATCGTAAAATCTAAGAACCGAGCAGTGACTAGTCTGCCCAAAGGCACACAGCTGGAAATCATCAAAGAGAACCAGGCATCAGAAACCATAACTCTGGTTCCTAGTTCAGTGCCCTTTCACTTTCAGATTAATTGTGTTTTTGATTTGATGCTCATTTTCCAATCTTCCAGCTTTTCCTGTAGGCCTAATTTTGAGTCTATTTGAAAAGAGAGCATTAAAATGATCATTTGTATTCCTTCCTACCAGTAAATCATCAGCATTTAGTATTTTATCATTTCTGAATCCTCCTCTAATGTCTACCACCACCACACATTTCCTTGTTCAAGTCCTACCAAAGCTGAATTTTTAAATCATTCCTCTAATTATGAAAAAAAGCTTGAACTTATAACAGTATTCTTTTGTCTGTGGTAGTAGTCACAGAGACCCTTGATTCAATTTTATAGGTTTGAAGTTCATTCCATTACTTATAGTTGATGATGTTTCTTCTTTTGGGAAACAAAAATGCAATTGGTGAATTACATAAGTTACACTAAGATATTTATGCCTCTTTTTTAGGAGGATAAACTTCAAATATTTCAGCAAAAATTAAAATATTTATAAAATACGTATGAAAATTCTTTACTCCAAAATTCTGTGGCTTTCAATCTAATATTGTTACTAAAATATAGAAACAAAACTATTAATTGATGTTTCCATCATGAGGTAATGACACTCTGATTATCTTTCAGCATTTGTGTCCTAGGGGAGCTGATAACTGATTTTACTCATAGAGTGCTTCTAATGGTCCAGGTACTGTTCTAAGTGCTTTATTTGAATCCTATGAAGTGGCTTCTCTCATTCCCATTTTAGAGAGGAGGTGTCTGAGGCACAAAGTTGCTAAATATCCTCAAGGTTATGAAGTAGTAAGTCTTGATTCAAAGTCTGCTAGTTTGAATTCAGAGTTTGTTCTCACAACCTGTGTGGTATAATGTGTCTCTGGGAATAAAATGTATCAAAATATCTCTTTTACTTAAAAGCAATCTCTATTTGTGGGCCCTCCACTGGTTGACTCCATCATCACCACCAAACCCAGCATTTATGGGGTTAATTAATTTTCAAAATTTTATTATATATATATATACCCATTTAGCTGTTTCATTGTAGGTGCTCACTAAAATCAGGGAAGTTGAAATGCCAGAATTTCTCTGATACAGAAGAAAATGTCTAAAGTCTCCAGAAGATATTAAATAACTCCTAACCCTACCTTTCTGGGAGGGGTGGGGAGGACATAGCATCACCATGGCTGCTTTAATAAATGATACAAGGGAGGACTGTGCAACAACTCTAAGTGCTCACGCACATGGTAATGATCTACCAATACTTTGCTCAAACTTACCTTTGACCATTTAATTCCACAAACACCAGGAAAAAGGAATATCACAGTATTTAAAGTACTGTTGGATACAGAGTTGGCATTTACTCCCAGATTCCTGAAGGGTCGTCCCTGCTCTTTTGAGTGAAGACATTTGGAAGGTGGGTAGTATGTGGAGTCCTAGTTCAGATCAGGTGCATGTTGGGTTCACCAAATGACAACCTCCCAGTGACTATTACATCACTTCCTGAATGAATAATTGGAAAAGATATACTTGGTAGTTGGTACAACTCCATACTTGTTCCTTGTCCTGTGGGTTACAGCTATTATAGTAAGGAGTAAATGTCCTATCCCCCAGTATAAAATAGTATTTTTTTTGAGACAGGGTCTCACTGTGTTGCCCAGGCTGGAGTGCAAGGGCACGACCTCCAACCTTCACCTCCTGTGTTCAAGCAATTCTCCTGCCTCAGCCCCACACCCCCACCCCACCAGTAGCTGGAATTATAGGTGCATATCACCACGCCAAGCTAATTTTTGTATTTTATTAGAGACAGGGTTTCACCATGTTGGGGAGGCTGGTCTTGAACCCCTGGCCCCAAATGATCCACCTGCCTTGGCCTCCCAAAGTGTGGTGATTACAATTGTGAACTACCACACTTGATCTAAAATAGTATTTCAAAAATTATACTGCATTATGTAGGATAAAAAATACCCCAAAGAGGGAGGACTCAAGATGGCGCTGTGAGAACAACCCAGGATTGGAGTTCTCGTTGTGTCTGCGGAGAGGTGAGTCTGAGCTGCATTTCCAGACTGATCTTTGTTGCTCACGGAACGGGGAAATTCCCAAGTGAAGAGGAGACGTGGGACGCCAGGCAGATATTCCGCCTGGCGAAGCCGGCAGCCGGGTTGGCGGCGGCCGGCCCTACCCAGCGCTCCCCACAGGGCGCACTTGTCCGGGTGCCCTGTTGAACCGGCAACTGGAGATGTGAGAGGGCTGGACTTGAGACTGATCTAGACTTGAACAGTGGGCCAGCCCAGGGGATTGCAGGAACAGAGCGTTAGGATTGGCCCAGTGGGACGAACAAAACCGCGATTTCAAACAAGCCCTGTGCAGATGGCCCGAGACGCTCTGAGGGGGAGGGGCGGCCACCATTACTGAGGCAACCCGCCCCAACTGAGATACACGCCCATTGCTGACGCAGCCAGCCGTTGCCGAGGCAACCCGCCCCAACTGAGATACACGCCCATTGCTGACGCAGCCAGCAATTGCCCAGGCAACCCGTCCCTACTGAGATACACGCCCACTGCTGACACAGCCTGCTGTCGCCGAGGCAACCCGCTACAACAGAGAGACTCCGCCACAGGGCGTGGCGAAGAACAGCAGAACAGCGGAGCCAGGGTGAGCCTCACAACAGCAGGGCGGAGCCTCGGCAGGCAAACAGTGGCTAGTCTGCATCCTAGCTGGGCAGGACCTCAACGGACATCCAAAAATAAAGCCCAAACCCCTCAACACAGAGCATTTGAGAAAAAAAAGGGTTTTTTTAATGAGCTCTGTTGCAGCAGAATCAAACATAGCAGCCTAACAGCCCTGAATGAACAACACAGCTCACAGCTCAGCAATTAAACCCCTATAAAGTACAAACTGTCTCCTCAAGCAGCTCCCTGACCCCTCTATATCCAAAAGACTGACATTAGGCAGGCACCATCCTGGGACAAAGATAGCAGAAAAAGAAACTGGTAGCATCCCTCGCTGTGCCACAGCTGCTAGAGGTGCACCCCAGACAAGCAGGGTCTGGAGCGGACCTCAGCACTCGTACAGCGAAGGGGCTAGACTGATAGAAGGAAAACCAAGCAACAGAAATACTTCATCATCAACATTCAGGGTGTCCACTCAGAGACCCAATCGAAAAGTCAGCAACTACGCAGACGACCAGCGGACAAATCCACAAAGATGGGAAGAAACCAGCGCAAAAAGGAGAAAAACACCCGAAACCAGAACACCTCGCCTCCTAGAAAGGACCAAAACTCCTCACCAGCAACGGAACAAAGCTGGATGGAGAATGACTGTGACGAAATGACGGAATTAGACTTCAGAAGATGGATAATGAGAAACTTGTGTGAGCTAAAAGATCATGTATTAAATCAATGCAAAGAAACTAAGAACCTTGAGAAAAGATTTGAAAAAAGATTTGAGGAAATGATAACAAGAATGGATAACTTAGAGAGGAATATGAATGAATTAAAGGAGCTGAGAAACACAATACGAGAACTTCACGAAGCATGCACAAGTTTCAATAGCCGAATTGACCAAGCAGAAGAAAGAATATCTGAAGTCGAAGACCAACTCAATGAAATAAAACGAGAAACCAAGATCAGAGAAAAAAGCGCAAAAAGGAATGAACAAAGTCTCCAAGAAATGTGGGACTATGTGAAAAGACCTAACCTACGTTTGATAGGTGTACCAGAAGGGGACGAAGAGAATGAATCCCAGCTGGAAAATACTCTTCAGGACATCATCCAGGAAAATTTCCCCCACCTAGCAAGACAGGCCAACACTCAATTGCAGGAAATTCAGAGAACACCACAAAGATATTGCGCAAGAAGAGCAACCCCAAGGCACATAATCGTCAGATTCAATAGGGTTGAAATAAAGGAGAGAATACTAAGGGCAGCCAGAGAGAAAGGTCAGGTCACCCACAAAGGGAAGCCCATCAGACTCACAGCAGATCTCTCGGCAGAAACACTGCAAGCCAGAAGAGAGTGGGGGCCAATATTCAACATTCTTAAAGAAAAGAACTTTCAACCCAGAATTTCATATCCAGCCAAACTGAGCTTCAGAAGTGAAGGAAAAATAAAATCCTTTGCGAACAAGGAAGTACTCAGAGATTTTGTCACCACCAGGCCTGCTTTACAAGAGCTCCTAAAAGAGGCACTACACATAGAAAGGATCAACCAGTACCAGCCATTCCAAAATCACACTGAATGCTAAAGAGCATCAATATAATGAAGAATCTACAACAACTAACAGGCAAAACAGCCACTTAGCATCAAAATGGCAGTATCAAATTCACACATAACAATATTAACCCTAAATGTAAATGGACTAAATGCACCAATCAAAAGACACAGACTGGCAAATTGGATAAAAAGCCAAAACCCATCAGTGTGCTGTATCCAGGAAACCCATCTCACATGCAAGGATACACAAAGGCTCAAAATAAAGGGATGGAGGAAGATTTACCAAGCAAATGGAAAGCAAAAAACAGCAGGAGTTGCAATTCTCATCTCTGATAAAATAGACTTTAAAGCAACAAAGATCAAAAGAGACAAAGAAGGCCATTACATAATGGTAAAAGGATCGATACAACAAGAAGAGCTAACGATCCTAAACATATATGGACCCAATGCAGGAGCACCCAGATACATAAGGCAAGTTCTTAAGGACTTACAAAAGGACTTAGAATCCCACACAATAATAGTGGGAGACTTTAACACTCCACTGTCAATACTAGACAGATCTACCGGACAGAAAATCAACAAGGATATCCAGGGCTTGAACTCAGACCTGGAGCAAGCAAACCTGATAGACATTTACAGAACTCTCCACCCCAAATCCACAGAATACACATTCTTCTCAGCACCACATCACACCTGCTCTAAAATTGACCACATAATTGGAAGTAAAGCACTGCTCAACAAATGCAAAACAACTGAAATCATAACAAACAGCCTCTCAGACCATAGTGCAATCAAGTTAGAACTCAGAATTCAGAAACAGACCCAGAACCGCACAGCTTCATGGAAACTGAACAACTGGCTCTTGAATGTTGACTGGGTAAACAACGAAATGAAGGCAGAAATAAAGAAGTTCTTCGAAACCAATGAGAACGAAGACACAACGTGCCAGAACCTCTGGGACACATTTAAAGCAGTCTCTAGAGGAAAGTATATAGCAATAAGTGCCCATATGAGGAGAATGGAGAGATCCAAAATTGACACCCTATCGTCAAAATTGAAAGAGCTAGAGGAACAAGACCAAAAAAACTCAAAACCCAGCAGAAGACAAGAAATAACTAAGATCAGAGCTGAGCTGAAGGAGATTGAGACACGAAAAACCCTTCAAAAAACCAATAAATCCAAGAGCTGGTTTTCTGAAAAGATCAACAAAATAGACAGACCACTAGCCAGATTGATTAAAAATAAAAGAGAGAACAACCAAATAGATGCAATAAAAAATGATAAAGGGGAAATCACCACAGATTCCACAGAAATTCAAACCATCATCAGAGAATATTACAAACAACTCTATGCGCATAAACTAGTAAACCTGGAAGACATGGACAAATTCCTGGATTCCTGTGTCCTCCCAAGCCTAAACCAGGAGGAAGCTGAAACTATGAATAGACCAATAACAAGGTCTGAAGTTGAGGCAGCAATTAAGAGCCTACCTCACAAAAAAAGCCCAGGTCCAGACGGGTTCACAGCCGAATTCTACCAGACACACAAGGAAGAGCTGGCACCATTCCTTCTAAAACTATTTCAAACAATCCAAAAAGAGGGAATCCTTCCCAAATCATTTTATGAGACCAACATCATTCTGATACCAAAACCCGGCAGAGACCCAACAAGAAAAGAAAACTTCAGGCCA